TACATACTAGGTGAATCTTGAATGACCAAATCTATAAAGCAGCCAAATGATACGGGAATCGAGCAAGAGGATTTTTGTTTTTATTTTTTCTAAATCTGCCTGAAGTTGGTAAACATTTCAGTTCAGGACATGGGACCCCCTGTTCTTTTGTGTTAATATAAATCAACAATTACAGATGAATTAACACAGCTGAAGCCTCTACTCTGAGGAAGGTAAAATATAAAACTTTGTACTAAAGTTTTGACAACATAAACCAAAATCATATTAAACTAAATGGAGTAGATTGTTTCCACAAAAATGTATGCACCAGATTTATGAAATTAAAAAGTGAAAAATTGAGCCTCTTTCATCATTCAAATGGTAAGAATGAGCCTGTTTCAGGAACAAATACTTGAGAAATTTTTTACAGTGCATAAAAAGCCATCAAGATGCATTACAAAAAAAACATCAAATGATTACAGAAAGGCAGTAATCTGCATAGTATTTTTCAGAGCCAGCTATTATGGTTTGCTTTCAAATACTGGCAGTATCAATATTCTCCAGTTTGATTGGTGACTGATCTGAACTTATCCTACTTGCATTTAGGAACAAAACGAGAGTGGCTACCTCTATTCATCTATTATTGTTTAAATAGCTGTCACAGCTTCCAGGATGATTGTTTCCATGTTATCTGGTGAAAGAATAAAATAGAATGGCAACAAACCAAATACAGTGAAAAATGTTTGTTGTATTTGGCCCAAACCAGCTGCTGTTTGCAGATAAAATCTGGTTTGAACAAAAACAGGTGAATTTTGGAAATTGAGGAACAATGGATGGAGTGGATGTAGCATTTACGAATATTTTAGAGATATGTGTCACATTCAGACTTGCCTATTATGGTGATTTAGTTCATATGTCAAGGCGCATATTCATCTCTGCTCGGATACTGTAGAGGCTTGGGCAACAGCTTGTCTTATCCTTGTTTATTTGTTAATTTATAACACCTCAGTTCCCAGCACAAGCCAAAGGCAGGCCTGGACACGCCTTTGTTCTGCCTTGTTCTTTCTTTTTTTCCCCTTTCTTTACACTGTTGTGCTCCCAACTCCGACAATGGAATTGTAGATTGACCCTTTTTCCCCTCTCACCCTCACTTGTCTTCGAATGCTTCCTTTCATGCATTTAGACTGAAAATGCCAAATCTCTGTATCCCAGCAAGGGCTCATCATTTTTGTAACCTTGCTCTGCTAGTAGGTTAAGAGGACCATTAGTAGTTCCTTTGCAATAGTTTAAAAGATGTTAACCTAATGATTATTTGGAAACAAAGATGTCTCACTGTATTGAGAGAAGAGGACTTCTACAGGAATAGAAGAATTTTAAATGCTTTAATGGCAAGAGGTCATATTATTTTGCTACTAAGTTATGTGGTTATGTTTTAATTGGCTGTGTTTACAATGTGGTTTTTCTTAAAAATGCATTTTTTCAAGATTCCCTCAATCATTCTTATCTCACATCCACAAATATCCATGCTTCCTGTGTATAATATGTACATTTGCTCTGTTTCAAACATACTTACACTCAGTTTATTTCACATGGGACATCAAGAAAACAAAGTCGCATTAGTCTGACTTTTTTCCTGAGTTGACATTTCATTAAAATAAGTTCATAGTAAGTTCAGCTCTCTAGTCTTACCCTCCAGTGTAAATTTGTTTCTGTTATATATTATAACATAAGAGATTGGATGTTATTTTGAGTTCATACCATTCTAACCTTTTTTGAGTTACTTTGCCTATTGCAAAACCATGCCACACATTGCGAGGAAAATCTTTGCAAGCTTCGCAACGTTTTGAGCATGCACAAAGTACAGCAAACAAAATATACTTAATTTTAAAGTAGTAATATAGTAAAAAATGTAGTCACTTGCTTAAATTCTATGACAAGAACAGTGTTAGAACCTTTCTGTATCTCAACAATTACATGGAAGAGCATAGTTTTAAAGTGAATTAAGGCTTATGGTATTTTTAAGTAAGTCAGTTTTATCTAGTGTATTTTAAAAGATTTTGACAATTTGAAACCTAAAATATTAGTAGGATTCTAAGTTGTCTTAAAAAGTATGAGAGGTCATTAGTCCATTTCTCTGACAAATCTAGAGGCAAATGATGTCTTATTTTAGTTTACTTTCTCATGTATATGAATCAACTTTACCATGTGTACTAGTTGTTAGGCTCTTTCTTGCTATACCATGCAAGTCCAATACCTTCACTAGAACCACTGATACAAAGAAGGCTTTAGCCAAAAAGACTCAATGATGTAACCTAGAAGGGGTTTTGTAATTTTATTTTTTTAAAAAAATTCTTTTTTAATATTGTGTAGGAATCATTTGGGAAAACCATAGTGGCAGCAGAGGAAAAATAAGTTTTCAGCTATGCAATTATATTGTGTAGGGTTTATCAATCTATTATCTAACCAGTTTTAAGTTTTGGATTGGTTTTTTTTTGATTAATGGAAGCATAACAATTCTGACAGCAGTTTGGAAGAAAATATTTTATAATGATTTTTTACACTAGAATAGGATTTGAGAAGATGAACTAGCAGGATGATTTGAGTACAATGTTAGTTTGTAATACCCAGGAATACCTAATTTATTTTTTCTAATTAAGTGGTGAATATTCCTATAATATTTTAAAAGTTGGAAGAAAATAACAAGTTCGTATTTGGGGCCAAATTTATAGTATGTTGCTACAAAAGGACTACAACAGATATCCTGTTGCTGTGGGGTAGCATGAGGACAGAGTATATTTTTCACAGAGTATATTTTTCAGAGCCTGCTTTGAATCTCAGTAAGGTAGATAGGAAATGATACGGTCATCTACAGCCAGTTTTTCTCAGCACTTTGTGACACGACTGAAAAACTTAAATATAGCTGAAAATATCTTTTATGATTCTGAATGGGCTGAAGCTTTCCTTGGTCAACATCCATTCCTTTCACAAAGTGTACTGTAGAAAGCCTTTGAGTGATGACTTTATGAGAAAGCAGTAGTTGTGGCACAAATTGTGGCAAATGGGGGACATGGAACACAGTCTTTCTCCTCGTGTAGGCTACTCTCAGCCTGAGCCACAGTGAAGTAGGAAGAACAGTTTCTGTGGTAGGAGTGATCTCACCAAAAGTAGGGCTTTCCATCTGAGCTAGTCATCTTAGGCTTCTCTAAAAGTCACCAGACACTTGTAGAGGAAGATTTGTCTCTTCCTGCAGTAGATGCCTGTGATAGTTCAGATGGATTAGTTCCTTAAACTGGTGTATGCTTCTCTCTGCTGGCTATAGAAGGAGCTAAAAGAGCCCAGAAGCAGATGTCCAAATGCCTGTTTGGGTATTTCTGTGGAGGGACGTAGTGGTTGAGGCTTTTATTCTAGCACTGTAAATACTGGCCAGCACAAAAGAACTGGTGAGGAGATGGAGCAAGAAATCTACATCTGAACATGGCTGGTGAAGATTGCTTCCTTCTGAAGTAATGGTGGATGGGGACTGTTGGAATGAACTGGGACTTTGAGTTATAGATTTCTGGTCCTGTAGTTGTCAAAGTCTACACTCTAACCCATCATTGCTGTAGATTTCAATTTTCCTCATCCTAGACCATGTCCACATAAAGAGAATACTGCACTCCAGTCAGAGAGAGAGCTCTTTTTAGACAACTAGAATCATAACTTTCATTACAATTTCAATAAAATTCCTAATTTGCATGATAGGATAAATAGAGAAATATAACTGTTATCAAAACTATAATTAAATAAAGTGCAGAAAGGAAAATAAATTAAAATAACCCAAAACGTATATATCTTATAATGATCAAAGCCCAAATGGAAAAGACCAAGTCTGACAAACTCTTCTGTAGCCAAATAGCTGTGCAGGGATCTGCATAATACCAAGAGTACATTCTAATGTCCTTGTATTGTATTGAGATACATCAACATGTCAGTTAATTACTGAACCCTTGATAAGAAGTATATGTATAGATATATGTATGTGTATATATATATATATACACATATAGATAGTTTTCCTTTTGAAGAATTCAGATTAACATCTGCTACAAAGAAATTGACCTAAATTTCTGTATCATACCAACAGTAGTCTAAAAATATTTCAAAAAGTAAAAAAAAAAAAAAAAAAAAACCAACACTGAAACAGAGTAGTGAATTTTCTATTAATTGTGGGTTTTTTTTCTTTTTCTTTCTTTTTTTTTTTTTTGCACTTCCTTTGTAATCTGTTCACAGATTATCTGTGAAACTTTAATTTTAGAAGTCTTCAAGCTGTGTATTTTCCTATTGTGATGTCAGAACTGATCAGATCTGATTGTTGCAAAGATCCCACTAAGGAGTTTAGCACTAATTGTTAAAAGATGTCCACGTTTAAAAATATTAGGCCAGCGATTGTAACCATGCTGTTAATTTCATGTACTGTTCAGAGCATATTTTGGTTGTGGGAATCAGGTGTATTTTCTTGATTTAAAATGCATTGAAGAGCTGTAGTTTTTCTCAGTGTTGCAGAATCTTCTAAGCTGTAAGTGAAACTGTTAAGAGTAGGAAGAGTTAATTGTATGGGAAGCCTCATATTCAAATACTTCTCGTATACAAAATATATGTCATGCTAGAAAATATTCTATTGTCAATCCAAATAGAACACAAACTAAAATGAGATAATTGGGAAGGTGCCCATAAAGTCAGCCTGAATATATTATCACAAGTATATGTGAGATAATATTTGTTTTAAAAAGATTCTATGGCACTGTAAACTCAGTCTCATTAGAGACTGCATTTAAAAGGCTTATAAAGTTACTCATTAATGTTATCTTGTTGTATCTCCACAGCTTTTTCATTAAAGAAAATTCAGCAGAAAGCATTTTCTCCTGATAGCAGGAACCAATTTGCAATAAATGTTCTGGAAACCACTAGGGAAGCCATTACTGAGGTCTAATAAAAACAGACAAGCGTAACTTGTTCTATATTTTTGTTTCAATCACATACAGATGAGACCCCGCTCTCCACACCAACCGCAAGAGACAGCCTTGACAAACTTTCTCTAACTGGGCATGGGCAACCACTACCTCCAGGTTTTCCATCTCCTTTTCTATTCCCTGATGGATTGTCCTCCATAGAGACCCTTCTGACTAACATCCAGGTAGGCCTTTCTGTAGATCAGCTTAAAAGGATGGAGAGGAGCCAGTTGCAGATTTGTCTAAATTAATATAACCATTCTAGCTTAGTCAGTTCATAAGATTATTTGGATCAAGTAATTTACTGAAACTTTCTAGTAATTTAGGCTTTAAAGGAACCACAGCAAACAACTGAATTTAGAAGCTGTCAGATACAGTACATAAAAATACAGATTGTATATTAAACCACAGCAGAGAATTTGATGAAAATTACATTGGTGTGTTTAACAACATTTGTCTTAAATGCTCTTTTTATTACAGGCTAATGAAATGTATCTTACTGTTTAACTTCATCTCATTTGCTAAGCAGAGAAACATTTCTTTAATAAATAGTTATTTTAAATTGCTGGAGTGCCAAGGTGGAAATTATATTCAAAGCTATTTGAAATGTGTCTCCCATAAAAGCATTCACAAAAAGCACTTATTTTATAAATAAGCCCATTTCACTTAAAGTACTGTCTTCAAAGAGTAGACTTCAAAGGGTATTACCAAATTTTCTGCAGATTTCCTATTTGGTAGTCATGATGTCTATTGTACAGTAGAGACTGATTCAAATATTATTTAAGGTATATACTAGCATCTAGCTTGGAGCCAATACGTTAGTGTTTCATATTAGAGGGAAGAATTTTTTTTGTCCACAAATTCATTGATCATGTGTCCCCCAGATGCAACTTTTGAAACAATATGCTTGTATATTGCATGAAGAAGCAAAATGATAGTGCAGGAAATAATGCAGCCATATTGTACTCATTCCAGATAAGCATCATCTGTGCAACTACTAACTTCTAATGTATTTTTCACAATATTTTCCCCTGCTTATTCCTGCAATTATCTAAAACCAATTGTATTCTATTCAGCAAAGGCTATGACAGAGCAGGGCCAAATCCTGCTCATTTTACTTTCTTAAGCAATCTCATTAAAGTTTATGGCACTTCAGAGTTGTTTTATGAAGAGTATATGATCCACTCATTGGTGATGTTTTGAGATCTAATAATGAAAAAATACTGCTATTTAAGAGCTAAGTATTGCTATATCTGCCTGGTCTGAAAGAGCATATTTGTGATTGCTTTTTGTGATTCTGAGACTTAGGATCTTCAATATTTAAATCATAAACCAAGGGGTAATTCTACAACAGTTACCATTCTTCTAAGAGATCTGCTGCAATCTCTGAAGAATGTGTTTATTTTTTTTAAAGGAAGAAATACAGTTAGCAAAGCATGTAATGTTTTAGCTGTGCATGCATGTACAGGAAAGTTCTTAGTAATATTTTTGACAAATGTGTGCACTCAATGTCCCTAGACAGCAACCTAATGAGCAAAGCATTCAACATCAACAGGTTAGCTAATCTTGTGATTGAATATGAGAGTGCTGCACTACTTCAGGATAAATGACCAGGATTAATTTGCCAAGGATTCATTCAGTTTTGTTTTACAGAAAATGTGAATGCGAAATTCAGTCATTGCTTTTTTTTTTTGTTCTTTTTTTTAAACACAAACCCCCTAATCTTATCTGGAATGAACAGCTAAATTAAAAGGCAACATCATAAAGAAAACACAGACTTCTTTATGCCTTCTCTCATTGTGCTTTTGGACTTATTGCTCCTTACCTTGAGGTTCCACATCATGACAAACCATCTATCAGGGTAAAGAAGTGGGACATAAATCCTTTTGGATTTTTTCAGTGTGTGTCCATGTTTCATTACATGGTTTCCACAGATCTCTGGGAATCCTTTCATATGGCATCAAGGCATTTTTTCCCCCTATATATTTAATAACTGTTAGGACAACATTAGAAAACCACTTCATAATGAAAAAATTTTTTTTAAAAGAAGAAGCTAGTTTGATTTTCCTACTTGTGTAGAAAAAGTTAAGTTCTCTCTTTAAAACAATAGTGTCTATTACAATAACCTATGTGCAATAGTGGCAGTTCCTCTAATCAGTGCCATTTAAAATGTTTTTCATATTTACCAATTATTGCAATGAGAGGGGACTAACCCAGGCCCACAAATGAGTTAGATACTGTGATACTGACCCTTTCAGAACTGAGTTTTGGATATTTGCCTACAAGTTCAAACTAATTAATGGGATTTGTGGAAAGAGGAAATTCTGTACTGTGGGTCCTGCTTGCAATATCAATTGTGACTTTCCTAAGAAATGCATAAGCTCTACCAGAAACCTATGGTGAATTTAGTACATGAGTCAGAAGGTCTTGTCACTGGGTAAATTCCTCTTTCCTCTACTTTGGTCCAGGTGAATTTTGCACCCCTTTCAGTACAGAGGTGTGGATTCAGAGGGGAGGTGAAGCAGTAAGATCCCTCACTGTTCTCTTGTTGCAACTATGCTAGAAATGGGGCAAATCTAACTTTCTAGAAGTGATCATCTGGCCTATAGTCCATTCCGTGCCTCCAGTACAAAGGTGCTTTTAAGACAGAAAATAGCAGAAATCTAGCCAAAGGCTAGATGAGTGGTTTTGGTAAACACTGTTCTTTTTTCCCCAGGGTCATGCATGATGAAAACACAGATGTGTCCTTTCAGTAAAAGGGTGTGTGTCTGCCTATGAAATGCAAGTGTACTTCTTTATTAGGTCATGGGACTGGGACATGTACGACCTGCCACAAGTGGTGGTAGAGGTTGCCTATATTTTAGGGATATGGTGGCCACATGAATACATATGCAAGCAACCTTTGGCTACACCAGTATGCACAGAAGTGATGGTAAATATCTGTGCCATGATCCTCTTGTGTATATTCAGTTGTGTGAGGTGCAGGGTCTGGAGGATCTGCGTAACATAAACCTTGAGTGCCTCCTGAAGAGATTGTAGAGCCTGTCCTGATTTAAAATAGAACAGGATTAGGGTACTGTATGGGCACTAGGAGTTCTAATTTTGACCGTTGTGAGAGTAAGTGGTATCCTAAACCTTGCCATGGGGACAGTGCTTTTGAGTATGTGAGCAAAAATTTCTACGCACTGTTTCTAAGCACTATTTCTGTTTCTATATTTGAAAACAAGATATGCTAAAAGTCTTGCAGGTGCTGAAGAGCTTCAGTGATTGACCTTGGTGTCTAATTCTACTTGAATTTTAGAAGTTTGAGACATCCTTTAGAATTGGCCACTAAACATGAGTGAGTCTGTGCCTTCCATCCATACTGAAGTTAAATGGATGGCCCCTAATCACTAATATGTAATTTTAGGCAAATATTAGACAAGTCTATTTGCTATCACTGTTACCAGGGACTGCTAGTTGGGTTTATTTCCTTTTGTGCATCATATATACATTTTTCTTACTTCTCCATAAATACTTATTGAAACAAAAATACAGTGTTTAATTATTTGTACATTTAAAAAGGAGAAAATAACAATATACAGTACGCAGAACAACCAGTGTTTATTTCTTGCTGGGGACTGCTGTAATGCAAATAATAAACTGTAAAAAAAACATAGTTAAACAAATACACACATAAAATAAAGAAATGAGATCTGGGACCTATTTTCTTATTCAGATGTATATCTATACATCTAAAAAAAAGAGAAAATAAATTTCACCAGGGAGTTTTAATTAACTGATATGTCTGTTCCTTCCCAATGTGTATTTGTTGAATTTTTCCAGATTAAATGCTGGAAGTCTATGTGCAGCTTCAGGGAAGATGGAGGGTGATGGAAGGTGGGTCACAGCAAAATACTGTGTGGGTGCTAGTGAGAAGGCTAAAGATGTTTCCGTACCCCTCGCATAAGTTTACCTCTTTGAGTCATGGTTCGATTATGCCAAAGTATGTTACAGCCACAGATTTTCATGAAACTGCAGTATGCTTGGGTAATAGTAATGCTCTTTTAAGATTTTAGAGTCTGAATCTTTACTGTCCCTGAGCTGAATTTCCATTAATATCTACGGGATGAATTAGTTGCACACTGATAACTATATTTTTTCTATCAAGACAGTATTGTATTGACACAGTCTTGTTGCTAAGTATCTTTAAAGAGATATGTAAAATAAATTTCAAGTATCCCGTTGATATTAATAAAAGAAATGCATGATTACAAACTATATTCCCCTATGAAAACAAAGCAAACTACTGGCTTTATTGCTGTGAGCCTCCTGCACTGTTACCATCTATGACTAAATACACCAGAGAAAAATATTGCAAACACTGGATAAAGTAAAAACCACAGTTTTACTTCATGTTATTTTATTTATCTTCTGCTAAAATTCAAGAGAATGATTTTATTTTTCACAGAAAGCATTAATGGAAAAATGCCATTTATACTTGTGCAATATGCCTTTACCTGTGATGGAGACATTCAATCAGATATTACAAAAATGTCTTTCTCGAGTCATCTGTAGAGATAGTCAAGCTGTGTTATCTTACTTTGCTTATGTTATCAAGTCAGTCGTCAGTTACAAATAGCAAATATTCAAAAATTAACCTGTGATCTAAAAATGTATATATTATTTTTTTAAAGCCTTTCACTAGATAGTTTTAATGATGAGAGCATACAAATTATATGTAATTTTCTGACTGAAAGAGAAGCAATGTTATTTGAAAGTGCTTTCACCATGAATAGCTAATATTGCAAAAGAAAGCCCTGAGTTACAAATCTCTGGAAGCTGGGAAGTTTGACTAGGAAAGCTTCACTGTGTGCATGCCTTGTTCTTCTACTTTTCCTTTTTCAGTCACTGTTGGTGACTGTTGGAAACAGGATGGTCTTCTAGATAGACCACTCGACTAGCTAGTAAGGTCATTTTGATGTCACATATAACTGAGTAGCTAACTAAATTATGTTAAGTGGAGCACACTGTAGATATAGCTAGAAAGAGAAAGGCTTCTATAGACCTTACCCTCCCCCCCTTTCAAAGTAAGCAACACATTTGCATTTTTTAAAAATAATGATGGGTAATACTAGCTTTAAGGCTGGGTTGAAGTTTGATATATGTTTAATTCCTGTAGGATCAGTAGACTGCCCTTATGTCATGGTGGTTTTGGATACATCAGAGAATGGGAAGAAACATCAACCATATATCAAATTTACTTTTTATTTGGGACATTTCTGAAGAATTTATCTGTGTAAAATATTAAAACAATTGCATTTAATCAAACAAAACTAATCAAAATGATCTATACATCTCCAGGAGCAAAATATCCATTTTTGACCTTACACTGAAATGCAAAAAAATTAGTAGCAGTGACACAGAAGGGAAGAATGGCATGCCATGTTTAAAGCCTGTCTCCAGATAGAGCCATACTGTATTAAAAACAAATCTGGAACCTGAGCATGTTCACTACAATTCTCATTATCCAGCCTCCATAACATCTGACCTTCCCTAAAGGGAAATATTTTCTTTTTGTTAATGTCCTGTGTTGCACTGCATTTCCCATTGTCATTGGCAGCATATTGATTTAATATCAGGTTAGAGGATTAGCCATAGCAAATACAAGTTGGACATACTGTATTTTGTATAATCTTTTACAGCTGATCCACTGGGAGAATTAATAGAATTTCATGCAACTCTGAAATTGCTATTCCTGTTCAAAGGGGCGCTGATGATTTTTAGATGCTGTACTTTTTAGTTGTTTTTCTCACCCCCTTCTGCATCAAATACAGGGAGATATTGAATGTTTCCAGTATTTTTACACTAGAGCTGTCATTGGCAGCAACAGCACTTTTGCATATGCATCAGTTTGGCTCTAGTGCAGATTTTTTTTCACATTGGACGCCTACTGATGTGCACTGATTTAACTTCTAAAAATGAAACTTAATTTTGTGTAGCTTATAAGTAGTCCCTTGTGGGTCTTGGCTCCAAAAAGCTAATATTTTTCAGACATAATCAGCAGCAATAGGTAATGTATTACCATTAGCTACGTTAGCAGCAAGTATAAAAAAAGGAAAGGTTGGGGGAGGAAGTGTGGTGTAGAAATTCAATAGAAAATGTAATATGCTTTTAGCAGCTTCCTACTTTGCAGCAATTCTTAATATAAAATTACACACATCAGTGTTACACTCTAGCATTATTCTCCATGTTTATTCATAATGATTGTTTCATATTTAAAGAACACCAAAATATTGTGTTTTGTCAGCCAAGGACAATAATAGTTTAATAGTAATTTATTTTAAACTGCTACTGATAATACAACCAATCAACACATTAAGTGGTGCCAACATTGGCATCTTGCTAAATAATCTCTAGGCTTTGCACTGAGAGTACATCTTTCAAAGATAAGTCAACAAGAGCAATCAGAGCAGAAAATTAGAATTTGGTATCTTAGAATTAAAATACAGATAAACTAAAGTTTTAATTGGGGTGATCTAAAAGGGCACTTGATGTAATGATCTCTTTCATTTGTTACTAATTGTTTGTTCCTGATGAAGAAGAAACATGTACACAAATGTAGTTGAATTGAGTAAAAATGGCAGTTGCTTTAGCAGCTCGATTTTATTGTTAAACAAGATAGATTGTAAGAATTTTGGAGGAGGGTGTTTGCAGCTTTAAACTTCGTTGACAGTACGCTTTTCACCAACAGATACTTTTAATGTAGTTTCACTTAATCCGGTTTATTAGTGATTTGGATGAATCAAATGTTCCAGTAAGCGATGAATTGGAGGAGATTAAAGTATTCGAGAGTTTAAGTGTAAGCCAGAAGCAGGTATTGATAAACAACTTCAATTTCTTACTATTTCAAAATCAACCTATATAAAAAGCATAGTTTATGATGCTTATAAGTGTAGGAGGATGTGGTGGGGGAAGGGAATAGAATTCAGGTGGATATTAGCTTTTCAAAAATAGATTGGAAAGTCTTTACAAATATTTCGAACTGTATTTTACTTTGCATATGTCTGTAGAGCTTTGTATTGAGCTTTATATGGTTTTCTTTAATAGTCACCCAGGTTTAACATTCAACACAAAATACCTTTGTGTTTTAACTATTTTAGAATAGCATTTCATTCTTTAAAGAAAACTGCTAAAAGTTTAAACATATTTATAAGCATATTTGTTGTGTTACCATCGGTAGATATTTTAAAATGTGGTTCTATACGTATGTAGTGTATATTGTTTTGGTGGCCATCTGGGACTTGCAGTCAGAAGGTGTTGAGTTCTTTCAGTTCCTGTGGACTTTAATAGATTGAAGTGTAATAGAGCTGCAAAGTATTAATCTCTGAATGAGACAACACTTGAGGCAACAATTTAGTTAAGAATGAGGATGAAGAGTACTGAAAATAACAGGCTCTGAAAACAGACTTAAAAGAGGAGTTTGAAGGACACAAATTTCAAAGCAGACATTGACATTGGGAAGACTAGTAGAATAAATCTGCACACTAACACTCATGAAAAATACTTTTTCTGTTTCTCAAGTATCATAATGCTGGCTTCTTTTTCCATTCCTTTTTGCAGATATTTCAAATAATTTTAATAAAATAACATGTAACCCAGAATCCAGTTTAGGAAGTGTGCCTGAGGGGTGAGGAATCTTACTTGGGAGTTGGGGGACATGATTTCATGTCTGTAGTAGTGTGGTTGTTCTGAAACCGGGTCTTGAATGTGAACCTTTTATCTGTTAGCTGAACACTTCCCTAGCAGAGCTATTGGGGAGTATTATTCAGTCGCTCTTGTTGGCATTGTTTTGCTTTATATCAGTAATTAAATTTCTGTTGGGTCAAATTATCTCCATAGTTAAGTTGTCAGGAGACTTGCCTAGGATACAGAAGAGTTAGGTTCATATTCATGGAGGTTCATATATGCATATCCATGCTTAATTATCTACTCTGTTATGATAGCTTCAAGAGGAGAGATTCAGGTGTAAACTTAAAAACTGATAGCCAGGCTTGTGGAAAATGGAAAAGGAAATCTTTCCCCTTTCCATGTTCATTTATTTCAATTCCATTTCTCCTCCTCTTTTTCATACCCTATCTCAATGTCCTAACTCTCTAGTTATTAGCTGTGCTGGGATCTTCCTGCTTCCTTGAAAAAAAGAAGGAATTGTGAAGTTGAAATTCTCAGGAGGAGTTTAGAATAGGCTAAATCATTATTTCCTGATACAATAACAATAAAAAAAGGTAGACTTTATTTCAACCATTCCAGGTCAAGAAATTGAGAGATGACTGCATTTTGTTCTCTTCTGTGAGACAACAGTTGTACAAGGTCAGGGAACGGACTTTTTAAGAGAGATATCTTCTTGCTTTGTGACTGTCCTTTGCTTAGGATCCCAGTAACCCTATCTTCCTTGGTAACTTTATGAAATACAAAAATATTTTAAAATAATAATAATTAGCAACAATAAGAAGCAAATGTCAAGCCTTTAAAAGAGCCTTTGTCCCTTTGATAGTTTCTGTTGGTTTGAGTTGTGCTAGAGATTGAATTTGCCATTCTGTGGATGTATGTGATCATGAGACTGCCAGTTCTTTTTCAGTGGGATAGCTTTTTGTTTTGGACACAGACAAGTGCCTGATGTAGGCTTGTCTCTTTCATCTCTTACAAAGAATAAACCTATCCCTATAACTTTTTCACATTAGTAGTACACATAGTCAGAGTAGTTTGCATTTTCTGGGAAAACTTGACTCCTGGCTTTTTATAGGTTTTTGCCCACCTGTTAAAATTAATTCCAGTAAAAATTTGCTGTTGATAATTGGAAGGCTTTGACTCAGTAGCAGGATGATTCCATTTGTAAAATCTCACATGACTAATCAAGGAAAAATAACAGAAGCTATTTATTATGTCAGCTGTTCTAACATTCTTCAAACATTATCTAACTTTTTCTTTGAACAGGGTCTACTAAAGGTTGCTATAGATAATGCCAGAGCTCAAGAGAAACAGGTCCAACTGGAAAAGACAGAGCTGAAGATGGAGCTCTTCAGGGAACGAGAACTGAGGGAAACGCTTGAAAAACAGTTGGCTGTGGAGCAGAAGAACAGAGGTATCTTAATTAAGCAGACATAAACACCTTGTAATTTATTTCCTAAGGAAACCTGTTTTTTATCAAACACCTGTGTTTGATGAAAACTTTTCCCCCTTACCTCATGATATGTCCAGGCTGAGTGCAACTCAGGAAATTTTGCAACCTGCTTGATTCTGCATAGGATCTTCATGAGATTTAGAACACAGACCTTCTTTTTTCTCAACATTTTTCTTGAATCTTACTTATTACATCAGTAATACACAACATAATTATGAATACCATAGGTGCTGTTATGGACTTTAGCAGATTGTGATCAAGATGAAGAAGGATAGCTACTTAATACAAAGGCAATTTCTATTAAATTTAAAAATCTGCAACATTTTAGGAACTCTTACCTCTGTTCTTATGTGCTTGTGTTGTATATTGCATATTTAGGCAAACTGTATTTAATAAATATAAAGATAATAGTACTATATAAGCCCTTTATAATGCATAGTAGATCAAACATGTTTGTGGAAGGAACAGTCAAGGTTCTTCTTGATAAGGCATTAGTAGCATTTCAGACAGTAATATCAGCCCACTGTAAAGCATATACATGTTAAATATTTTTAAATAATTTAATTGATAGTAAAGGTAAGGCAGTTTACAGTGTTTTGCATTAACTATTTGCATTAGGAGCATGTTCGTATCTTTATGGGTCCATTTTTCCGTATATGTATGTCTTGCCCTTTAATAGTGTCTCATTACTTTTCAAGGGACAGTTAACCTCTGGGGCTGATTTGCTGTTTAGCACAGACCATGACAAGTCAGATAAGTATTTTTGCAGGGCTAGAGTTATAACTTTTCTTGGCCAGTTTAATTTTCTGGGAACCAGATAAATAGGGAATCCTGAGAACTGGATTCACAACCAATATCATTATACCTTTAACTAACATGCTAGCAGTATGTACACAAATTAATCCTGCTTCATGCCTTGACCCATTAAATGGTAGGACTGTCACATTATTAATTTCCCTTTTTTAACTTTTGAGGATACATTTTTAAAGACAATTACTATTAACAATTATCACAGCTGTGCAATGAATCATCCCTTTGTCCACAACTGGCCTATTTTGCTCAATATAATTGCACTACTTACACTTTTAAAGTAGTTTTGTAAAAGAACTTGGTTATTCTTCACATCCTTCTACCTCTGTGTCTCATAACTGCTCAAACATATATTCCTTCTTAGAGTTAGACAATCACATAGGAGAAAGGTTGGGGGGGTGGAATGTGACCTTACTTGAATTTTGCCATCTAAACATTAAACACCTCATTTAAGTTAATATAAGTTTCCCTTCTGGTCAGTAAAGAAAGATATTAATGTATCTTCTTCTCAGACAGGTAGGTGGGGTCAATTACACTTTGAAAACTTCTTTCTCTTCCTTTTAACTCCAGAGGAAATATAGTTGACTAGGCTGGACTAGACACATATGTTTTAAGCAGTTAAAGTTAAGCAAAATTAATTTTACCCAAAGTTGTATGTCAGGAAAGAGCATGGGATATTCCCTTGTTTTGTTCAGGGTACTGAAATAATTGACAATGCTATTTTCAGCATGATGCATTACTTGCTTTTTAAATATATCCCTCTAATGATGATATTGCACTGGTAAAAGAGTCAGACCAAAAAGAAATGGATTTCAACACTTAATGGTGGTATGCAGCAAAGCAAATATAATGAGGATGACTGCCTCTGCTAGTGGATACTTCTGTACAAAAGAAAAGAAAGTAATGGATTATTCCGTGAAATGAACAGATCCAAATATGAGAGAAAAAATAAGGCCAGATTGTAATTACTGTGAGAATTTATTCTTCAATTGAAGGTAGAAAAATACATAGGAAGCTTTACCTACTATTAGTTTTCCAGATAGCAAGTGTTATGGATTAAAGAAAGCTTCACATGTCTTAATGGAAGCATGAGCAAGATGGGAGAAGTGTACCATATCACTGTTAAGAGATACCATATGAAAAAACTGAAATACACTTAAAAGCTGTGTCATAGAAACACAAGTCACTGTGTCACATACAGGTCAAAACTTATCAGGTGAATGGGATCTTCAGCATTAGGCAACACCTGTCTTGCTCATCATGTTAAAACAAGAAAATATTTTTTTTTATTTAGAGGGTACATCTCAATATTTTTGCGATTTTTTTGAACATTAAATTCACTGCTGCTACTGTATGTTCTACAGAGCTGCTTATTTACTGTACTGTTTCCTTCCTTCTTTGTAAATATTCCAATTAGTGATTCCTAAGGCTGTAGGATGTGTCTCATCAACTGGTGAAAGTAGGATAATATCTCTTCTGTGAGCAGCTACACAGTAAGGGCTTGCTAATTCTGGCTCTGACTGCTGTAGTAACATCTACAATGTGTCAGCCATGATGACATTTTAATTCAGAAAGCAACATATGTTTCCTTCTCATTTATTGCAATCACTTTCAAAGTACTTATAATGAAAACATTAAAACCGTGCAATGATTCAAAATGTATTTAGTTTAGCCTTTGTATAGATACTAGATGTTCTTTGATAGTATAAGCTAATTAGCCAGTAAAGTAGATGGTACTATACAAAATGAGAAAGAACCAAAATTCCAAAGTCTTGGATGTAAATTATGTAGCTCTTCTGACTACAGGGTATGTGCTTCTATTCATTTTGTGTCTGAACAGTTCTGTATAGCAACACAAAATATCCAAGATTACCCAAAAAGTGTTTATTTTTAGCATATAAATTAAATAGTAATAACAATGGTGATTCCCTTTAAAAGTTTAATTATATGCATTTTGTGAAAGATTTCACCATCACAGACTACTGAAAATGGGGAGTATGAACTGGTAGAAGTATATTTTTCCCTTTTCCAGCATTCATCCCTAGGCAGGTACCAGAGGTTACTTTGGAGTCAGATACAGGGCTAGATAGATCTTGCCAGTCAAACCTAGTATCACATATTAACTGGTTTTGGTAACGATAAATCTTTTAGTGAGTGTAAAAGTATTTTTTAGCGAGTAGTTTAGTAGATATTTTTTTCGTTAGTGTCAAAATAACAGACTCTTCAGGAAAGGGTTGTCCAGGAAGCTTACAAGAAATAAGTTTCTTACATGAACATCCCTGAAATCCCTAAATGTGTTATGTAAGAAGGGATGGAGTGTGGTGGAGGAGATAATGTTGTGCTCTATGACTTTACATGATTTCTTTAGAGGCTCACTTCAGCTTTTATTAAGTAGAAAAATTGGTTCACATTATGCTTTTACATCAGGAATGTAACCTGCAATGTTTTCCTTCAGTTAGGGATCATGCAAGTCTTACTTCTGGGGTTGTAAGTCACTCGTACCATAGAAAAGAAAATTTTGATGAAGTTTCATCCTGATCTTAAAATCCTTTTCCTTGTAAAATCTGAACTGAAGAGATACAAGGAAAACATTTTTCTAAATTAGGTCCTTCTAATTCTTGATTTCAAAATACTCCTTCCTTTCCTAATATTTTCCTTCACATTTGACAAAGCAAAGTAATACTTACTTGTCTGAGGGATCCAGCACTGTAAAGGATTTGCTATGAGTTCTTCAAGGTTAGATGGCTGATGGAACAGCAGCCAACAAAGAGCAAGAAAGGGAAAAGGGAAAGACAAAGGGAAATGTGGATAAGAAATAAATACAGGGAATAGAGACCAGGCACCAAGAGGTCAGACGGCTTGCAGGAAGCAGCAGCTTGGAGGTGAGTTATAAAGCTCAGGGTCTTTCCCTAAGGAATGAGGACCACAGTAGGGTGGGGGCTGAGCTCTTCCTGCAGCCCTGGCACCCAAGCAGCCGGATCTCCCTCTTGTGGGAGAGAAGCTGCAGGCAGGCAGGCAAGAGCTTCATCACTTTGTATACTAAATGTGTGCTATGGGCAATAACAAAACAGTGCACTTAATCCCCCCAAAACACCTCACTTCCAGACACAGAGATATATCTATGTCAGATGATGCAAAAATTACATTTCATTGCTGGTTCCAAGGTTTTCTGATTTGGACATTTGCAGATTCTTACCTGTTTATAAAAAAAATACATATGCTAAAGCTGAATATCACCTACAGTTTTCAATATCAGGGTATAGAATGGTAGCTCTTAGAATATCCAAGTGTGATTCCAGCAAATTTCAAGTAATTTAAATTGGTATTGTGTAATTAATCAATTTATATGAACTGTTTCAGTTGTAGCTTTTCTCAGAACTCTTAATAGGTAATCATGTAGCCATGTTTCAGATCCGAACTTGAGTACACTGATTTTCTTTTTTCCTAGCAATAATTCAGAAAAGGCTAAAGAAGGAAAAGAAGGCAAAGAGGAAATTGCAGGAAGCACTTGAATTTGAGACTAAACGACGGGAACAAGCAGAACAGACACTGAAACAAGCAGCTTCCACAGATAGTCTCAGGGTCCTAAATGGTAAGAAACCAATTTTTGCCTCTATGTCATTAACTTTAAATTTAAGTGCCCAAAGAAGCTTGTTATATTGAAAAATTATAAGAAGATGGGAGGGAAAAAAAAAAAAGAAAATCTCTTTTCTTTGCTTCATTCAAGTGATGCCTCTCTCTTTATTGTTTTGTTACTTTATATAGTATGTGCAAATAAACTCACTGGAGAGAATGTCCAAACTAGGACAATTTTATATTATTAGCTTGAGAAGTCAATTTTTTTTTCTTCTTCTTTTTCTCCCCCTCTTCATGCTTGAAAAATCTATTGCTCATTAATCTTCCTAGTCTAACAAAAAATTGTCCTGGCCTCCAGTCATTGTTCAACATTAAAAAAACTGACAAAGGTTGATTGTATTGTAATTCAGCATTGGCGTAACAGGTTGTAAAAAGGGCTATAAGAATCAAATGAAATATGTGTCAGTCTTACCTTTCTATGTTTCTAGACTCTCTGACCCCAGAGATAGAAGCTGACCGCAGCGGGGGCAGAACAGATGCTGAAAGGACAATACAAGGTAGGAATTTGCAAAAGGCTATAAATCTAGATCTTGCTATATGAGTTTTTCCTCAGCTTTAGACTGCTATTCAAGCATGTAGCCTACCATCTGGGCCACATCAAAACAAGTTCAAACAAGGTCAAGTTCATCTTGCTTGTTTATAAGAGATAATACATTCTGTGCTGATAGATTTTTCTTTAAATTAATAGGTCATTTCTGTTTATACAGAGCAATTAAAGAAGAATAATTAATTTGAAACAATATTGGTTGAATCTCAGACATGCTGAATGCAGTTTTTGTGAAAAAGGTATATTTAGATTTGAGATAACTGTTTTTAAAAGTATATTTGAAACTTTTGAGCCTTTTAACTATACAAATGGCTAAACCTAATGGGTAACTTTGAAGGCATGATGAGAATTTCATAGCTGATATTCAGTGGCAGTTACTGAAAGGTATGTTTCCATAAACTACTCTGAGCATTAATGATGAATAATCTGTTTATCCCCTTCTTGGATTTTTCATTTACGATATCCCATTATTTACATTTTAATAAAACAAATCTGCTGAGTAAATTTATACACGAAATCCTAAAGAAAGCTGTGTTACTTCCCCTGTGAATATAACTATATATGTGTGCATATATATATTGCAAACAACAAGATATAGGTAAAGAGCAAATTTTTAGGACAGTTTTTATGTTATAATGTCTTCTCTAGTCAACAGGCTAAATCTACCTACATGAATACTAAACAGTAAAAATAGCGTTTGTTTTCAATCCTAAATGAAGGTGCATTTTTCAGGGGCAAGCCTAAAATGATTAGCTCCAGTAATCACTCTCAATTGCCTTTATTTTTCATTTTGAAGTCAGTCATCTTCACAGTATTATTTGACATAATATGTGTGTTATTTAATCACTTTTTCTAATTCGTAAAGAGTTGTTACTGGTGTGCCACAAGGAGGCTGTAACAACAGCATAAAAAGTCAACAAGCTTTTAATGTATTGAGCATATAAACAAGTTCAAAATAGGCAATAAGTTCTTATGCAGGACAAATACATGTATATAAGCAAAAACGTTTAGATTTAGAGCAAGTTATGTCTGCAAAGTCAATAACTCACAAGTTGGAGTATGCCAGATTAAATGTTGCCTGGGAAATACGTATGTGTTGTGAGGTTTGTTATACCAGAATCCTAATTTCCTTCCCGTAAAATGTATGCCTTATTCAAAGCACCATTTGTCGTAATTCATTTAGTAAGAATCCAGTCATTATGTCATTTTGTTGTAATCCAGTCATTCTGCTATTTTGTTTGGTGCAAAGACAGACTTCTGATTTCTTGGGAGGCCATTCTATTACCCTAGCCACTGCAGTATCTGAGCTCTTTGCAAACATTGCTTTTAACTTCAGAACATTCCTGCAAGGAAGTGAACTTTGGAGTTTTCCTATTTGAAAGCTGGGAAAAAGCGTCACAACAAGATTGAGGTGACAAATTACTTAACTTTTAAGTGGCTAGGACCTATTTTTTCAGGATACTTTGCATTTTTGGCAAATGTATTCAGTGTATTTAAAAGCACTGTTCCTGTTGAATTCAGTTTCATTTATGGGCTGAGATGCCAAACTGGATATTTATAAAATGAGCAACACATAATTATTGAGTATTTTGGAAGCATGTATTCTAAAGGATTTATCCCAAACTACATAGGAACAGCACTTCAGCTTTTTAACCATGATTATCCATTCTTTTCCAGCTATCTTCTGCCTGCTTATGCTCATTTCATATATTTCCATTTCTGCAACAAATGAAATCAAGGACTTACAAGCAACACTCTCAGTAATGATGACCTTTCCTTGATTCATCTGTCCTAGGTGGTGCAAGGAAAAAAAAAAAAACAGCCCACAGATGATTATTTAATTAAAGACCGGATCATAATATATTCTGATCATGTTATTGGATCACATTGCAAAGGCAACCTTAATTCTGACATTTCCTGTCTCTACTTTGCAGTCTTAACATATAATTAAAATAGGGGTTTTTAAGGAAAAGTAAAAAAGAAGCAAGAAATAGAGTTGCAATTTCTTATCATTTAACATATTCAGCTTGTCATACAACAGTTCAGAACTTTTAGATCTACCACAATACATAACCATACAACACAAATGTAACTGTAGGAGTTATGTGTATCATTGTCATTGTGGATCAGCTATTGTAGGCTGAAAGGTTTCAGAAATAGTTAATGGCACAAGTAATGCTAAGTGTCAGGACTTTTGTTCACCTCCAGTATTGGAAGGAGGATTCCTTTTCATCATAAACTCCTTTTTCTTTGTGTCCCCCTTAGCACATATCCCTGTTACTCCTGTATCTCTGTGTCCCAGTTCCTCCCAGTTGCTTCCTCCTCACTCCAATTCCATCTTTTGTCAGTGGCTAAACTCACTCTTTCTTGTCTCTATATTACATTCTCTTTCTTTTTTCCTAACTTGACATTCTTCCAGAATTCTCTTCTGAACTCAGTTTCATGCCACCCTGATTATTGCTTTAATTACAAGCTCTTTCTCTTCTCAGTGATGCCTCGGGCCCCTGTCTCTGCCTGACCCTTCCAATTGCTTTCTCTTCTTGTCCAGCCATTTCGAGAGTCCATGCTGCACTGTCATTTCCCATTACCAGCCTTTCCTGTTTGGTACCACATCTCCATCTGTATTCTCTGCTTCCCCTCACCTCTCCATCAAGCATGCATTCCCTACTGCTTACAGTACACATTCTGTTTCTTCTGTCTGGATATCATGGAGAGCAGCACTGAAAGAAAAGCAAAGACAATTTCTTTGTTCTTATCTCAGTATTTAGCATGGCAATTGTTTGCAAGAATGAGGAAAGAGAGTTGCAGGGAAAGAACTGCTTCATTCCTGCAGCATTAGGATAAAGCATGCTTAGTACAGATGGGATCCTTGGAGAATTTAGCTGCAAAACTCTATAGAAGCTTTCTAATGGGTGAAACTGGGATTTTTCCAACATTTTAAAATTTTCATCAGGGCAACAAAGACCATGTATTTCCAATTTTGCAAAATTTCAATTATGTTCTGACATTTTATCTGTACGTGATATTCTCTATAGTCTGGTATGTACAAAAGAATAATAATTATATAGAATATACAATATATTCCATAATAAAGAATATCATACTATCTCTTTCATGTTTCAGGTTCTGGGAAAAAAATACTTAGGGAAATACTTATACCTTTCTTATTCCTCTCAGAAATATATCTGTATCTCAGTATCTAGGCATGTCTGAGTAATTTTGTCTTTATCCACAATCATTAATTTTTTTTTAACTTACTATATTAAGCATGCTATGCAGTTCTGTAAATAAGCAAACAAAAGTAGGAACGCTGCAGCATTCTGTGGGGAAGTGAAATAATTGGAATATCAAGTGTAATTTCAGCATTAAAGAAAATATTACACAAGGAAATCATATTTAAAAATAAAGATTTTATCATTTATTATAAATAAAAGGATGTGTGTCAGCTGGAAGTTATATTTAATGTTCATATTTTTAACTATCATTTTTGTGAGTAAGTAATCGGACTAATTTAAGCATAGAAGATAATTGCATTTGTCAATAATAGGGTTATGTTCTGTTCTATTTTTCATCATGTAGCACTCATTCAGATTCACTTTTAGTTCATGTAAAGTCTTTTGTAAAATGAGAGATATAATAAAAAGAAATTTGAATATGAGACTATAAAAAGAAGCAATACAGGATATCTTAGGGCTGGGTTTGGGTATTTTTAAATACTGGATAGATAACAGTTTGCTGGGGTATCCATAAAATGCTAACAATAATCATAATAAATAACCCAGTTATGGGTGTCATATTTTTTAACAGATACAAACAGATACTAAGTTATTAGGAACTGGTGTAGACACTGGTTTTAAATGTTTTCTTTCTTGCTTCTGTTTAAAATAACAATAAAGCAGATTATCCTCTTCTCCATACATATTGTAGGTTCACTAGATGCCTATGCCTAGCTCCCAATCCGGTTTCCCAAGACCCCCTCATCCCACACAAAAAGGTACCATGCAAAGATAATGTTTGACTTTTATATACTGTTTTGTTACCAGACCTCTTACTAAGCACTAGAACAATGACATTTACTGCCGCTCTTACTTTCTTATTTCCATTGACCTTTTCTTCCCCATCTGGTTATTTACCATGTATTTTTCTGACTACATTATTAATTTTTCTTTTCCTCTATAAATCCAACATTTCCAATTGTCTGTCTCCCAGTAGTTTTCCTCCCAAGTCCTGTACATTCATCTATATTCCACCTAAACACACTTCCTTTATGCATTATCTAAACTTCTCTAAGAATGTTCTACTTCTGCACTGTCTTCCCCTTTACCTCTTCTTTTCATATGGTGTGCCTGTCATGTCCTCCTTTTCCAACATCACTCCCAAATTGGTTTGTGCTTTTCTCCCACAGCTATCCTGATGACAACAGGAAGCTTAACCAAATTTTTTCTCTCTCAGGCTATTATTTTCTTTGTCTTATCAATTTCTTTCCTATTTTCTAGCAATTGCCTCATCCTGTACCTTTAATTCTTCCTTCCAATTAATTTCCAATGTCTACAAACCATTATTCCAGCTGCTTCTGAAACCAGCTCCACCATTTTCTGCTGATAGTCTTCTCACCCTGTTCAGTTCCCATGAAATCTCAAGCCTTTTTTTTTTTTCCCCAAATATCTGTTTGTGTTCCAAGACACCCTTTGCACTTTGTCTGTTCTCAAAGTTTTCCTTAACTACGCATTCTCCTCTAGCACAGATTTTGTTCCATTTGTCCATCAATCAAAGTTTCATACCTCAATTCTTTATCCTGCTGCAGATACTTTTTTTCCTTCTAGCACATTATCAGCCTTTCTCCAAATCAGTTGGATATTTTACTCTCCCTGTCCCTTAGCAAAATGAACTTATGCTTTCTAAGCCCTTTCCACTGATTGTTTCTTCTTGCCTTTTCCTAGTTCTCCACCT